GCTTCACTCCATGAAAACCTGTCAATCCAAGTTTCAAAGTGATTGGACCATTCCCACCAACAATGTTTGAAGTACCAGTTACTCCATGTCCTCATCAATGTTTGGTGTTACCTTTTTTTTCCCTCTGTGCCCCAAGTGTTTAATATGATTTTTAATATCTTACAACAACCTTGCACAATAGGCATTATTATTCATTTTTTAAAAATTGAGATATAATTGACACACAACATTATATTAGTTTCAGGTGTACAACATAATCATTTGATCTATGTGTATATTGCGAAAGGATCACCACAATAAGTGGTGATCCAGTTAACATCTATCACCACACATAGTTACAAATTTTTTTTCTTGTGATGAAGACTTAAGATCTACTCTCTTAGCAACTCTCAAATATATAATACAATATTATTAACTATAGTCACTATGCTGTACATTGCATTCCCATGACTTATTTATTTTCTGACTGGAAGTTTGTACCTTTTGACTACCTGTCCCCATTTTGCCCACTGCCCCCTATCTCTGGCAACCACCAATCTGTTCTCTGTATCTATGAGTTCAGTTTTTTTTAGGTTCTACATATGAGTGAGATCTTGTCTTTTTAATTTTAGTCATTTTGATGCCATCATCTCATTGTAGTTTTAATATAGAATTCCCTCATAACTTATGATGAGCACTTTTTAAAATGTTTATTGGCTATTCTTATCTTCCTTTGTGAATTAACTGTTCAAATATTGTGCCCATTTAAAAAATTGAATTGCTTTGTTATTATTATTATTATTGAAGTAGTAGTTGCTATAATTAAGGGTCCACAAATGGACCCACATTTATACAGTCAGTTGATTTCTGACCAAGGTGCCAAAGCAATTCAATAGGAAAAGGAAATTCTTTTCAACAAATTGATCTGAAACAATGGAATCTCAACCCAGCTCATTTGAAATGCATCATAGACCTGGAGGTAAAAGTTAAAACTATAAAGTTTCTAGAAGAAAACAAGAGGGTATCACCATGACCTTGGAGGAAGCAAAGATTTCTTGAAGAAGATATAGAAAGCAATAACCTTCACACAGAAACTCATGGGAGGCCTGGGCTTGACTTACAATGGGCCAGTCCGCAGGACCCCACAAGTAGAACAAGCATAGGACCTGCCCCAGTTTCTCTTCACAAGAGACCCCAGAGGCCTGGGTGGAGGCTTGTGGCTGACTACGTGAACTTTGTCTGGTACCACTCAACACCCAAGGACTTACTGGAATATCTGGTCTTAACAAATACCCCACAACAAAGAAAGACATGAGTCACCTTCCGGGGCCTTTTCCCCTTAATTAATGTGGTCTTCACACATAAGACTCTTCAAGTGGTTAGAGCAGAGGGGGGCGGCTGAGAGGGGAGTGAGCAATGCCTGAGCTGGCTGTGAGAGGGGTAGCACCTCTGCACTGGATGCCTAGAGACAGAGACAGTGTGGAGCAGGGGGAAGACTTGGGCTTTGGACTCAGACAGGCCTGGGTTCAAATCCCCAGACCTAGCCTTTCCAAACTGTGCGTCCTGGGGCAATTTCCTGGACCCCTCCGAGTCCTCATTTCCTTATATGAGGTGAATCGAGTTTGACGTCAGTTGACCATTTCGTCTGAGAGCTGTTCTAGGCATGGTGGGGAGATCCTGACCCCCGAGGCACCCCTGCCCTCAAGCAGTCCCCATACAGCTGGACACAAATGCAACACCTCAGACTCCATTTTCACTAACAAGCTCCTTTTCCTAACTTTCCTGCTTCACAACTGGTCTCCTAGGCCCCAAATATTGAGAAACTTTTGCCTCCTCTCTCCTCTGTTTCCTGTATCCACTTGGGTACAAAATTCTATCAAGTGTTCCTTAAAAATGCCTCTTTTAGCAAGAAATCCTCCTGTAGCCAGTACTGCTATTGCCTACCCGATTCCCATTCCTTCTCATGCTTCCTGCAAAATCTCAATTTTGTTCAAAGTGGCAACAGAAGTCCAGCAAAGGTTCCTTCCCCATAGCCCTTTGCAGCCAGGGGTAGCCTCTAAATAAAGTACCAATGAGTCATAAGCTGGAGATTTCTGGGAAAGATTTGCTTTTCTGATATAGGCACCACCCCTTTCTGCTTCGATCTTTCTATTTTTCCCCCTGGGATGAGGCCCTGAGTTCTGGAGGAGCTACAGCAGCCATCTTGAGGTCATGAAGCTTGGGGTCTGAAGAAGGCATTTGTATCATTCACCTAGACCAACTATCGCATGAGCCATCAGAGGGCTTTCTCAGCCTCTGCTCTGCAAATGGAAGCATCACAGAGAACACGTGAGTCCCAGAATCAAAGGACTTAGTTATGGCTCATCCCTAAAATAGAATATTCGGCAACCAGTGGAAATGGTGAAGGAAATCCGATTTTATTGACAAGGAAAGATGTTCATGATATTTTGTTAAATTAAAACAGCTTTTTAAAAATTGTTTTTTATGGTATGTCATTATAGTTATACCTAAACTACACTTTATTTATAAATATATTTATAAATATAAAAATATAAATGGATATTCCTGTAAATATTTAACTGGCTTATATCTGTTTGATGTGCTTATAATTTATTTTTTCTTATCTGATTAAAAATTTTTTCAATAAAAATAAGAGACAAAAAAGTCCCTAAAATGCTTAAATTCCATGCTCCTTAGTCTGGCATTCAGTGGCTTCCACAACGGGCAGGGATAAAGGTGGGGGGTTTGTGTATGTGTGTGAATGTGTGAGTGTTTGAGAGTGTGTGACTGTGAGTTAGTGTGTGAGTGTATGTGTGTCAGTGTTTAGGAGTGTGTGTCTGAATGTCTATGAGTGTGTGTGAATTTGTGAGTGTTTGAGAGTGTGTGACTGAGTTAGTGTGACTGTCTATAAGTGTGTGATGTGAGTGAGTGTGTGTGGTGAGTATGTAAGTGCATCTGCCTCCCCGGGGTTGGGGCAAACAGCCAGAAAGGATTCAGGGGGTCCTCCGCCCTTCTCGGTTCAGTCTGAGCCATCATGGCGTGCAGCAAACCTGCTTTCCCCACTCTCGACCCTGCCCCCATTTGAGAAAGGAAGTGAGAATGAAGAGGACCCCCACTCTGACTCTTTGGAGAGGGGCCAAACTGTCTGTCTGTCTGTCTGTTTTTTGTCTCCAAGAGAGACAAAAAACTCAGGCTCCAGAGGCTGCTAGTCCAGTAACCCTCCTAAGTCAGGTCAGCCTGAGAAGGTGGCCAGATCAATTACTGCCACTCAAATCCCTCAAGTAGCTCCTTGACCAAAAGGTTTTGTGGCCAAAGACATTTGGGAGAGCCTGAGAGTTCGGCTTTGGGGGATCCACCACGCACACTGGCATCTTAAAGGTGCTGCGAAGTCCCCGGGGAAGAAGGCCTGTTGAGCCTTGCTAGCCCAGCATTTCCATTTGAGGACAGGAACCCCGCCTCCCCTCTCCCCCCGACTGCACCTTTTAACCTCCCACAGAACCAGCTTGCACAGGATCCACCCTGGGGAATGCTGACCCATAACAGCCCACATTTGCCCGGCACACTGCAGGCTGCAAAGCCTCCTCACACGCACACACATGCCACCTTGGAGCCCTGTGAGCAGGCAACACTATGCCCATTTTACAGATAAAGAACCAGGGATCCAACACATGGAGTTGCCAAGATTCTCAAGATGCCCCCAGCTTGTAAGAAACCTGCCTGCCTTGGGACTCCACCCTCTTTTCTTCTCAGCAGAAGCTGAGTAGAGAGCAGGGCCCCAAATGGGCTCAGGAAAGACACAATATTCTGGAGAAGGAGGCTGGGCTGAAGCTTGGGACTCAGCCGATGATGGGATTGCTGGGGAGGTGGAAGAGGGTGCAGTAATTAGAGGTAACTCTGAAGGAGGATCGAGGGGTGGGAGGTGCTGAAGGGAGGGTGCCAATAGGTCCTGGCTGGGTGCCTCTGCCATCTCAGAAGCTGGAAATGAAAGACCCCAAAGGAGGTAGAAGCCGGGTTCTAGACCCAGTGATGCCTCCGGCAGCCCGTGTGGCTTAGGTCAGCCCCTCCTGCTCTCTGGGCCTCAGTTTCCTTATCTGAGCCACAAAAGAGCTGGGTTAAATTTGCCAGACAAAATATGGGGTGCCCAGTTTAATTTGAATTAGAGGTAAACAATAAATATTTTTTAGTACAAGTATATTCCATGCAATATTTGGGACATACTTATACTAAAAAATTATTTACTATTTATCTGATGTTCAAGTTTAATTGAGCAGCCTGTATTTTTATTACAGATGAGGGCCGAGGACCTTCATGATGCAGACAAAGAGTCGGAGGCCCATGGAGGGAAAGGAGGGCCCAGGCCACACAGAGTGACCGGCAGAGTTAGGACTGGAAGCCCAGCCAGGGCTCTCTCCCTTCCCACTGGCTGTGTTTCCCCACCAGTTGGGTCACTGACAGGCTGGGGCTGAACATGGCTCTGAGAGAAAGGCCCAGCCTCCGTGATGATGGCGAGAAGGCTGGTGAGGGGCTGGGGACCTGGGGTGCCTGTGGTGCTCATGCTCAGGGTTCACCAAGCCCCAGAAAGCAGGGCTGGGAGGTGCTGTCAGGATCTACACTCAGGGGACCTTTTTCTAAGTCTGGCTCACTCTGGTGGTGCTACATTGGCTTAAATGGCTGGGGGCAGAGTAGGGATATGAGGAGATGGCTGATGCAGGGGCACCAGCTGAGACCCCCGGGGGAGGAGGAGAGAGAAGGGGCAGAGTGAGCTGGGATGCTCACGTAGCCAAGGGCCCTCCCTGACCCCTCAGTTGCAGGGATTTCTCCTTCCCTTACCACATCCTGGGCAAGGTGGGTGTCATGGCAGCTGATGCCCTCCAGCAAACCCCACTCAGCTCAGAAAGCTCTAATAATGTATCAGGGGGAGGTGGATTGTTGGGGGCATGGAACCTCTGAAGTATTACTTCTCCCCCTGACTTCTCCACAGATTGGTTTTGGTGTTTGTGGTAAACTCAGTGACGTGGGGAGGTGGCCTGGAGAAGGACCTGGCAAGACCAGACTGCCGGGTTCCCAGCCTCTATAAAATGGGGTGTGGGGGGCGCCTCAGCAGCTGCCTCACCATGACCTCTTGGGCCCTCCTTCTCCTTGCCTCGGCGCTCCTGGGCACCCCAGGTAAGGATGTTGCCAGGTCCCCAGCCCCTCACCAGCCTTCTCGCCATCACCCCAGAGCCTGGGCCTTTCTCTTGGAGCCAGGTTCAGCCCCAGCCTGTCAGTGACCTGGCCAATGGGGAGAGACAGCCAATGGAAAGGAAGTGAGCCCTGGCTGGGGTTCCAGTCCTCTGTTGGTCATGCACTGTGGCCTGGGACCCCCGTTTCTCCCCTGGGCCTCTGACCCTGTCTGTGTCATGAAGGTCATCCACCCTCATCAGTGGGTCTGATGTTTCTTCTGGCCCACACTGGCTGGGATTATGACAGGGTTTGTGAGCGGATGGGGACCTCTCACTGTTCAAGACTCACCTCCTGCTCTGCACACCCCTCCTCTCTCCCAGTCCTGGGGTCACTGTAAGCTCCAAGGGCTTAGTGAGGGTAAAGACACTTCTGCAAGGGACGGTGGGTTGGGCTGGGCCACCTGACATGAATTCTTTTTTGGAAGGAAAGAGAAAAAGAAAGAGAATCTTTTGAAAGAAGATGAAGGAAGTTTCCTTTGAGACCAACCTCCAAATCTGTGTGTGTGTGTGTGTGAGAGAGAGAGAGACAGAGAGACAGAAAGGGGGTGTATGGGTAGGGGGCAGAGAGGAGTTTTTTCCTCTTGGATCTCCAGAAGGAACTGAGAGTGGGTCAGAGCAGCCCCAGGGCAGAGTGGAGGAGGAGCCTCCTGGACTCCTCACAAGGTCCCACTCCTGTCCTGGGCCCTGGCCACCTCCTGGGCTCCCCACCAGCCAAGATAACTGACTTCCCTCTCCTTCCACCTGTGGGGGGATGCTGATGCTGTTTCTTCCCCAGGTCTGACCTTTTCTGGTCTGAACCCTGAGCGCTATGACCTGGCGACAGCCCACCTGTGTGATGGAGAGCAGTTCTGCCAGGGCCTGGCTCAGGAGGGCTCCCAGGTAAACAGTTGGCTTCCTGCTCCCCTCCCGCAGTCCCTTTTCCTCTCTCTCCTCCCTGGGCAGCGCCAGGGGCGACGGCTGGAGATCTCTAATGGATGGAGGAGGGGGAGGCAGGGCTGAGAGCTGAAGATTCTGGTTTTGTTCACACTCGTGCCTGGTCGGCGGGGTCTACTTTAGTCTGGCTGGGCTCTCCCCAAGAGAGTCCTCTGGGGTCTGACCGGAGAACAGAAGAGGGGCAAGGCCTGGGCTGGGAAAGGTGTTGTGGGTGTGGGGGCAGGTTCTGGGGTCTCTCAGCCCCTCTAAGACCAGCAGGAAGGTGAGCAGGGGCCAACCAGTTTGGTTCAGGCCCTCAAGTGCAGAAAGATCATAGATGATCTTGCGGGCCTTGGACGCACCCAAGGGCCCCTTTGGGGCCCTTCCAAGGGCTCTCGGGGTGTCTAAGAGACTACCTCAAGGGGCTTCCTTTCCTGACAGGGTGACCTGCTGACTGAAAGAGAGAGGATAGGCATCTTCTGCGGGCATTGTCGGAAGATAGTCCAGAAGCTGGAGGAGATGGTGGGAAACCAGCCCACTGAGGTGAGGCCTGAGAGCTTGTGGAGCCTCCTGCCCACTGGTCAATGGAGTGGGCAGGGGCTCGGGGCACCTAGCACAGCTGCCCCAGAGTGGGGTGCTGGGGGAGGGGCTGATCTCTGGTTGGGCCAGAGCATCTCAGCAGGGGCTCTGTGGGCCCCTTCACGTGCCTGTGGATGGGCTTCAGAGACTCCTGTGAAATTGTCACTCTGGGTGTGTGAAAGTGGGAGGCAGAGTGTGCATGGTTTCCATCAAATTCTCGAAGGGAACTTGTTCCCAAAGAAGGTAGGAACCTTTCCCCCGTAGCCCTAATGTTTGTGTCCAAGGCAGAGCTTTGAGGGGTTGGTTCCAGAGGGGGCCTGGGTCAGGACTGATAAATCCCAGATCTACCACTTCCCAGCTGCATGGCTTGGGCAAGTCAATCATGCTTTCTGAGCCTCAGTTTTCTTATCTGTGGAGTGGGACAGATAATAATATACCTCACAAGTTGCCTAAGCCTTTCAGTGAGCCAAAGGATGGGATGTGCTTAGCTCCATGCCTGGCACTGAGTAAATGCTGAACAAGTGGATGTGTCACTACCAAGAGCCCCTCTCCTTTGCTTCCCCAATCTGCACAGCATCTTGGCACTGCAGGGTTCACCCTCAGCCCTGGGTACTCAGATTTATCCTTCTCCACTGGGATGGCAGTAGAAGATATTTCAAAATGGAGCATGCCAAGGCTCCAAACTCTGATATCCTTCTGACTTTCTCCACACACCCCCTGTAGGTGGAGCCCCCAGCCAGGCCCTGAACCCAGGAAGCTATGTAGGCAGAGCCTTTAATGTGGGTCTGGTAGCCGTGGGCTCCATTCTCCACACAGAAAACAGGGCGCGGGTGTTCAGGGGGCTGAGACCCTGGCGGGGCCAACTGTCCTCTCAAAAGGCCAGGCTTGGGCCAGGGCTTTGGGGTCTGGGAGTGGGAGCTGAGCCCTGTCTCTCCAGTCTCAGCTCACACGGCCACCTGGCACCAGCTCCTTGCACCCGGCACTACCATCACCAGAGCTGCCCAGGGCCCAGGGCCCAGAGCTGCTGGGGCCTGCAGGGTGACAGAGCGTGGCAGGGCTCACCTGATTCCCATGTCTCACCATGGCGCTGCTGCTGCAGGCCACTGTCACCGAGGCTGCGTCCCGGGTGTGCAGCAAGATGCACCGTTTGCTGAGAGGCGCCTGCAAGGTGATCATGAGAACATGTCTTCGTCGCATCTCCTGGGACATCGTGGCTGGCAAGAAGCCCCAGGCAATCTGTGTGGATGTCGGGATATGCAAACCTCAAGCAGGTGAGTGCAGAGGTGACAGCAGGGACTCATTCCTGGAGGGCCCCAGACAGCCTCCCCAAGAATGTGCAACATAGTTTAAAAACACAGAAATATATCTATCATGGAGAATTTCATAAGCAGTTCATATGTGTCCCTAGAAGCTTCCTTATTATGACAGATTACTCCCCCCACTCCCAACACGGGAAAGTGTGGAGAAGTTGGGTAGGTGGGCTTTAGTTAGAAATGTTTGAGAATCACTCATTAAGAGTTTTGAGAAATACTCACAAGAGCTTGGGGTTTTTTGCCCCAGGCAATCCTGGGGTAAAATCAGGTCTCCTTTTCTCCTCAGCTGTGTGACCTTGGGCAAGTAACTTAACTTCTCTGGGCTTCAGTTTCCTCATCTGAGAAGGGGAGATAATAATCCCTGTTTCTGAGGTTGGAATGAGGATCGATTGAGACCATTATGGATAAAAAGCTTGACACCAAGGAAGTGCCTCCAGACTAGGCTATCCAGGAGAAGTCACATCCCTGATCAAACTCTATTTCCCCAGGTCAGCACAGGTCCCTGGGGATGGGAGCCCAGGCCATCCTTCCCCATGACACTAGGGACCTGAGAGCTGGGCCTGGGAATCCTGCTGGGCAGGGATGGCTCTCCTGGCCTCTTCCTCTACGGCTGCCCAGGCTGTGCCTGGAGAGAACAGGCCACAGCTGCAGGAGCTGGGGCCGGGAGGGGCCCCTGAACAGCTGTGGCAGCTCACCTAGCCCTCACTGATGCTGTGGGACTTGATGCTGGCAGATCTGGGTGGTCCCGTAGTGTGAGGTCCCCACCATTTCCTGTCATTGGAGCCTGTGGCTTTTATCTTTAAAGCCCCACAACCCACACAGGCTTCTAGGATGTGACTCTGGGTGTGTTCAGCAGGAACAGGTGGCTCTGAGTCCCCGTTTTCCCCAGAGACCCCACACACCTGCCCACAGCTGGCTCTTCTCCCCACTCCAGGTCTCATCTGATCCTCTGGTCCCGCCCGGAGGAAGAAGTACAGAAACTCCAGCAGCCTCCACTGGCCTCTCCCTTCCTCAGTCCAGAGTCTACCCTCCAGTCTCTCTCACCTAGCTCCCTCCACTGCCTTCGCCTCTCAGGAGAATAAAACATCATGGAAGCTTTTAGCTGCCGCTTCTTTTCTTTGGGAAGATTTGAGGGGAGGGGCTCGGAGGCAGGCTTAGGTGACTCATGCATTCATTCAGTAAACGTTTCTTGTATGTCCCACACACTGTTCTAGATGCTAGAGATTTAGTGGTGAATAAGACCACCTTAGCTGCTCTCACACATAGAGTCACGAAATCCTTACTGAGCACTCACTAGAGCTACATGTTCCTCCAGAGGCTGGAACACACAGTGGATATACGCCCGGAAGCTCTCAGACCTGTTCCGGAGACCAGCAGGGTTATAGTTAGAGTTCTTTTGGTCACAAGGAAAAGAAACTCATCCTTTTGTTCTCTTGGCAGGCAGCCTTCTTGTGCCGTTTTGGGGAAGCGTATTATTTAGGATTCTTTTGGTTGCAAGCAACAGAAGTCTTAGCTCATTCTGGCTTAAATAAAAAAGGTAATTTATTGGCTCAAATAATGAACCAATTCACAGACAACTTCAGGCACTGAATGATCCAGAAATTTGTGGTGTCACCAGAGCCCAGTCCTGTTTCTCTGCCATTCTCTCAGTTCTTCCCACCTCGGTATACTGAAATTGACCTCAGGCTACTTTCCTTCTTGGCAGCAGAAATGGCTGCATCAGGTCGAAACTTCACATCTTTGCAGTATGTCATCAGGAGGGAGACATACATCTTTGGTAGCCTCTCTTCCAGCAGCTCTCTTGGAAGAGAAAAGAAGCTTCTTTCCCAGAAGCCCCATCAGACCTCCCTCAGTTCTCATGGCCTGACTGGGTCAGGTGCCCATCTTGAACTAGTCACTATGTCCAGGGGCGTGGGATACACTGATTAGCATAAGCCAAGTCAAGGCACACTCCTGGGGCTGAGGTGAGGTTCATCTGGCCCTAATCATTTGGTTGACAACGAACACAAAAATCTCAGAAGATATTGTTGCCGGAAGAGTGGCTAGAGGGAACAACATCTCATCGGAGTAGGAGGAGAGGATGTGCAGTCAGCAGTGTCGACAGATTTATTAAGGGTTTGCTGTAAAGGGTTGGAGAGAAATGAGGTAGAGCTGGAGGCCATGTGGAGTTAGAGGTGGGGGTCTGTGTTTAAGGTGTTTGCATGCTGATGGGAATGGCCCGGGGAGAGGGGAGAGGACAGAGTTGGGAGAACGGCAACAGGGAAGGCCTGGAGAAGGGAGAGGAAGGGACCAGGGCACAGCGGAGGGTCAGCGTGAACATCTAGACGTGGCAGTATTAAGGGGGTGGCCTCACCCTTGGGAATAAAAGCAAGAAAACTCAGAGGACCAAGCCAGCCTCTGGTAACCTCTCAGAAGGGAGCGGGAGAGCACTGGCTTCATAACACAGACTGTTTCTGAGGTACCTGCTCACCCCCAGTCCCTTCTCAGTTCTCCAATGTTTCCTCTCTCACCCACGGGGGCAGCCCTTGGATGCCAAGCTTGTATCATACAACCTCTCTCCCTCCTGGCCACTTCACAGACCCCTGACCCAAGCTGGCGCAAATAGCTCTCTCTCCTGGGAATTTGAAATTACCCCCATCTTAGTCCAAGCCACCTTAGTCATCCTGGCCAGGTCCCCGCAACTGATCCCTAGGGGTCTTTAGACTTCCTTCTCCCTTTGCTCCCTCACATCCCTTCTCTACACAGCAGCCAGAGGGCCTTTAAAAATGCGAACCACATCTCCTCACTCTCCTGGGAGAACCCTCCAGTGGCTTCTTACAGAACTCTGGATGACGTCCCAACTCTGTGTTAGATCCTGGTGTCAGAATAGTAAACAAATGAAATAAGACACCTGCCTCAAGCAACATACATCTGAAAAATGCTAGTAATATCACCTTAAATTTACCAGGCACACTACATCACCTCTATTTTTCGAAGAAGTAAAAATTATTAATTTTAGGGGCCAGCCCGGTGGCGCAAGCGGTTAAGTGCCCGCGCTCCGCTGCAGCGGCCCGGGGTTCACCGGTTCGGATCCCAGGCGTGCACCGACACACTGCTTGGCAAGCCATGCTGTGGTGGCATCCCATATAAAGTGGAGGAAGATGGGCACGGATGTTAGCCCAGGGCCAGTCTTCCTCAGCAAAAAAAAGAGGAGGATTGGCAGATGTTAGCACAGGGCTGATATTCCTCACCAAAAAAAAAAATTATTAATTTTATTAAATTGTATCCCCTGAGTCCATGTTTTAGTATTGTGTGATGAATTAGGAAGTAGGCATGAAACACTTCTGCTGCATATGGAGGTTTAATGATTCTCTCAAGGAAAAGCACTTGTGCGATGGAGTTGCAAGCTGAGCTGCCTCCTTTTATCAGGGAACACTGTTTTTTAAATTGTAATAAGAAAACACATAACACAAAATTTACCGTCTTAACCATTTTTAAATGTACACTTCAGCAGTGTTAAGTATATTCACATTGTTGTGAAACAGATACAGAGAACTTTTTCATCTTGCAAAACTGAAGCTATGTACTCATTAAACAACAATCCTCCTTTTCCCCCTGCCCCCAGCCTTGGTAACCACCGTTCTACTTTCTGTTTTTATAAATTTGGCTACTTTAGATGCCTCATACAAGTAGAATCATACAGTATTTGCCTTTTTGTGAATGGCTTGTTTCACTTAGCATAATGTCTTCAAAGTTCATCCACGTTATAGCATCTGACAAGATTTATTTCCTTTTTAAGGCTAAATAATATTCCATTATATATATATTATATGTATATCACATTTTGTTTATCCATTCCTCTGTCCATGGACACTTGGGTTGCTTCCACCTCTTGGCTATTGTGAATAGTGCTACTATGAGCATGAGTGTGCCAATATCTCTTTGAGATCCTGCTTTCAGTTCTTTTGGATATATGCCCAGAAGTGGGATTGCTGGACCATATAGTATTTTTATTTTTAACTTTTTGAGGAACCACCATACTGCATTTCATAGCGGTTGCACCATTTTACAACAACAGTGCACACTTTCTTCACATCCTCACCAACATTTATCATTTTCTGTGTTTTGATAACAGCCATCGTAACGGGTGTGGGGTGATATCTCATGGTTTTGACTTGCATTTCCCTAACAATTAGTGATGTCGAGCATCTTTTCATATGCTTGTTAGCCATTTGTATATCTTCTTTGGAAAAATGTCTGTTCAAGTCCTTTGTCCATTTTTTAATTGAGTTATTTGATTGTTTTGTTGTTGAGTTGTAGCAGTTCTTTGTATATTCTGGATATTAACCCATTGTCAGATACATGATTTGCAAATATTTTCTCCCATCCCATAGATTGCCTTTTCATGTTGTTGACTGTGTCATTTGATGCATAAAGTTTTTTAAGTTTGATGAACTCCTGTTTGTCTGTTTTGTTTTTGTTGCATGTACGTTTGGTGTCATATCCAAGAAATCATGTCCAATCCAATGTCATGAAGATTTTCTCTGGTGTTTTCTTTTAGAAGTTTTATAGCTTTGAGTCTTATATTTAGGTCTTTGATCCATTTTGAGTTAATTTTTGTATATGGTGTAAGCTAAGGGTCTACCTTCATTCTTTTCCATGTGGCTATCCAGTTTTCCCAGCACCATTTGTTGAAGAGATTTTAATTCCCTTTTATGAGCACTTTCTTACACATGGTCTCACAGAAGATCATTAGCAGGAAAGCAAAGTTTCTCAAAAGTGGTCCACATATTTGAATATCCATGTGGGTGGAAGGGGTACGATGTAAGTGCAGCCTGTTAGCATGCTTTTTATATCGATTTTAAAGTAATTACACAAAAGAACCTCCAAGTCAGTTTAACCAACTTTACTCACATGAAAATACAGTTATAAGCCTAGTTCCAGCCACTGATTAATTTTGATCCAGTGAACTCTAGTGTTGAACCATTTGAATCATTTTGAAAACAGAGGTCTATGGTGTTGAGACATATCTCAGTTTTGATTCATTTTTTGG